AACGAAGGTGCGCGGCGCCAAAGCGACAGCCACGTTTTGAAAACGATCCGCCCTCCATCTGCGAAGCTGTTGCCAATCTTTAAGCTTCAGGGGGTTATAAATTGTGAGGAGGTTTCAGGCGAAACGCCCGACCCGCCCTAAAACTTGCCTCGGGGTGCGACAGGGAACAGTTGTTTGTATGGATAAGGAGGAGGAGGAGAAGGAGGAGGAGGAGGAGGAGGAGGAGGAGAAGGAGGAGAAGGAGGAGGAGGAGGAATCATCGAACTCTCCCCCAGGGGCAGTTCCAGCAGCCGGGGCAGTTCCAGCAGCCGGGGCAGTTCCAGCAGCAGCCGGGCCAGTTCCAGCAGCCGGGGCAGTTCCAGCAGCAGCCGGGCCATTTCCAGCAGCCGGGGCAGTTCCAGCAGCAGCAGCAGCAGCAGCAGCAGCAGTTCGCCGGCCAATGCCTCAGGCGTCCTTGATCCGCTTGCCGAAGGTTGGTCGGGATGCTTTGTCTTCGCGCTGATGTTTGGCAGAAGCTTCTTGGCTCCTGGGGGGATCGTCGCAGCGATATCTCGATGACGCGGATCGAATAACCAGGGACCGTCCTTTTTTTGAGCGGATTCTGGATCGAATATGTAAGCAGCGTAAATCCGTCCAGTCAGGACTGCTGAGTAGAGGCCAGCTTCTCGGTTTGGCGGGTGGAAGGGGTCCGGGCTGTGGAGCAGCACGACGCCCAACCCGATGCCCAGTTCGACGGTATGCAGGAAGACGACCGAGCCACCTGCAAGCAGCAGCATGCATCTGCAGCGGCCAGCGCGGGACTGCCCTGGAGCGGGACCGAGCAGATTACTCTGAAGACCGATGAATGGGTGTGACCCGTCGGGCTCTGGCCATCGCTCGCAACGCCAACACAGGGCCCTGGCTTGCTAGGGGCCGCGGCAGCGGCGGCTGTTGGCACGGCGCCAGTAGAGACGGCTTGGCCCGTGGCCAAACCCGACGCCCAGCATGACGCCCCGCACGACGCCCTGCGCGGAGACCGAAATACGGAAGGCCACTCTGTGGCTGGCGCAACTGCAGCATCGGCGGCGACGGCACTGGCTTTCGGAGCAGCCTAAGGAATGGAAGGCTGCACCCAGCTGGCGCGGCTGCGGCCACAGCGGCGACGGCCTCGGCTTTCGGCGAGGGCTGCACGGAGCACGACGCTCAGCCCGAAGCCCAGCCCATTGCCATGCTCTTACAGCACGAGGCTTCCCTGGAGGCGAGGAGGATGGCAGAGGCGGCACCGACTTCGACCGACGCCCTGCGTGACGCTGCCGCCCACAGCGTTGCGCTCGAGGCCCGGTTGGAGCGCTGCGTCAAGGCACGCACGGCTGCCCAGAGCGGGGGCTGCCGCGGCTCAGCAATGCGGCAAACAGGCTTGGTGCTTAGGGCTGCCAGGCTGCAAGCCGCCGCATGCTCCCTGCGGCTCCTGCTCGAGTCGTACAGGTGGTTCCGCGGCCGCCGCCAGCGCGGCTGCGCCCAGCTACATGTTGTAAAGGAGCCAGGCGCGGCAGGCAAGCCGTTCCGTCCCGAGGGGGCGTCGAGCAGAGACGGCTGCTGCAGTCGCTGCGAGATGAGACGGCGGCGAACCTCCACTTGGCGCCCGTCGGACCCACAGCGCCGCTGCCGTGGCGGCGGGCGTTCAGCATGCCTCGGGCACGACCCCACCCAGGCAAGCCGAGTAGTCCATCCGTTTTGTGTGTGAGGCTCGAGGCGGCCTGGGCTGTGGAAGGGGGAGACCTTGGCGAGGCTCGATGAGGCCGCTCCCGACCTCTCAGAAGCTGCGGCGAGCATGCTGGGGCCAGGCCCTGGACCTGGTCGCACCACCCGCCCGGCTTGCCGTTGTGTTGGGCGTATGAAAAAAAATACTCCGACGGAAGGACCCCACATGAGAATCTCTTTAGCTTGCATGGGGGTATCCTCCTGCCCCTTCCCTTCTCCCACCTACTCTTGCCTCCTCGTTCTCCTCCTGTCTGCTCCTCCTCCTGCCTCAACCCCTGCCTCTTCCTCCTCTTCTTGCCTCCTCCACCTCCTCCCCCTCCCCCTCGTTATGCTTCCTCCCCCCCATTCCCCCTGCCCCTCCTGCCTCCTGCCTCCTCCTCCTGCTCTCCCTCTCCCTTCTCCCCTCCTCCTCCTCTCCTCCTCCTCCTCATCCCCTGTCCTCCTCCTCTCCCTCTCCCTCATCCGCTTCCTCCTCCTCCTCCTCCTCGTTTCCATATTCCTCCCCCCTCCTCCCCCCCCCCTTCCTCCTCCTCCTCCTCCTCCTCCTCCTCCTCCTCCTCCTCCTCCTCCTCCTCCTCCTCCTGCCTCCTCCTTAGGCCTCCTGCCCCCTCCTGGGGCCTCCTGGGGCCTCTTGGGGCCTCCTGGAGCCTTCTGGGCCTTCCGGGACCTACTGGGGCCTCCTCGGGCATTCCTCCTCCTCCTTTTCCTCCTCGTCCTTCCTCCCCTCAGCCTCTTCCTCTTCCTGCTTTCCTGTCTCGTCCTGCATCATCCCTCTTCCTTTTCCTGGCAATCCTCCTCCTCCTCGTCCTCGTGCGGAACACGACCCAGAGGAAGCGCACGACGTGCGTCCCAGCCGATACGCGCCGGAGGACGACCCAGAGGAAGCGCGAGCCGGAGGATGACCCGGAGGAACCACGTGAGCTGCGGGACCCATAGGAAGGCTCCCGCCTGACGCGTCCTCACAATTCACTCACAGACGAGGGTCCCGCTTGATACTTCTTCCAAATTCAGACCTGAGGAGCCCAAAAGTGAGGACAGTTACAGGAATCCGATGACCCGCTCGGATTAGTAACATGATCTGCGGGCCCCATAGGGAGGGGGCTCCCGCCTGAGACTTGCTCGCAATTCACTGACAGACGAGGCTCCCGCCTGATACTTCCTCCAAATTCAGACCTGAGGAGCCCAAAAGTGACGACAGTTACAGGAATCCGATGACCCGCTCGGATTAGTAACATGATCTGCGGGCCCCATAGGGAGGGGGCTCCCGCCTGAGACTTCCTCACAATTCACTCACAGACGAGGTTCCCGCTTGATACTTCCTCCAAATTCAGACCTGAGGATCCCAAAAGTGACGACACTTACAGGAATCCGATGACCCGCTCGGATTAGTAACATGATCTGCGGGCCCCATAGGGAGGGGGCTCCCGCCTGAGACTTCCTCACAATTCACTCACAGACGAGGCTCCCGCTTGATACTTCCTCCAAATTCAGACCTGAGGAGCCCAAAAGTGACGACAGTTACAGGAATCCGATGACCCGCTCGGATTAGTAACATGATCTGCGGGCCCCATAGGGAGGGGGCTCCCGCTTGAGACTTCCTCACAATTCACTCACAGACGAGGCTCCCGCTTGATACTTCCTCCAAATTCAGACCTGAGGAGCCCAACAGTGACGACAGTTACAGGAATCCGATGACCCGCTCGGATTAGTAACATGATCTGCGGGCCCCATAGGGAGGGGGCTCCTGCCTGACGCGTCTTCACAATTCACTCACAGACGAGGGTCCCGCTTGATACTTCTTCCAAATTCAGACCTGAGGAGCGCAAAAGTGACGACAGATACAGGAATCCGATGACCCGCTCGGATTAGTAACATGATCTGCGGGCCCCATAGGGAGGGGGCTCCCGCCTGAGACTTGCTCGCACTTCACTGACAGACGAGGCTCCCGCCTGATATTTCCTCCAAATTCAGACCTGAGGAACCCAAAAGTGACGACAGTTACAGGAATCCGATGACCCGCTCGGATTAGTAACCTGATCTGCGGGCCCCAAAGGGAGGCGGCTCCCGCTTGAGACTTCCTCACAATTCACTCACAGACGAGGCTCCCGCTTGATACTTCCTCCAAATTCAGACTTGAGGAGCCCAAAAGTGACGACAGTTACATAAATCCGATGACCCGTTCGGATTAGTAACGTGTTTTGCGGGCCCCATAGGGAGGGGGCTCCCGCCTGAGACTTCCTCACAATTCACTCACAGACGAGGCTCCCGCCTGATACTGCCTCCATATTCAGGCCTCAAGTCAGCGAGTAGTGATGATGATGGTGATGATGATGATGATGATGATGATGATGATGATGATGATGATGATGATAATGATGATGATGATGATGATGATGATGATGATGATGATGATGATGATGATGATGATGATGATGATGATGATGATGATGATGATGATGATGATGATGATGATGATGATGATGATGATGGTCGTTCGATGCCGATGATGGTGAGTGATCGTCCGATGGTGATGGTGATGCTGATGGTGATGATGATGATGAGTGGGGAGTGAAGTGATGGTGATGGTGATGATGATGTGGAGGAGGAAGCAAAGAGGAGCAGAGGAGAGGGAGGAGGACGAGAGATCCTGCGCGGAGGGTGTGCAGAGAAAACAAGAATCCCACTTGGGATGTGGGGAAAAACCAGGCGGGCGTTAGCCTGCGTGCGGCGCATCGTTCAGGCCGCGCACAAGGGGTCTCCTCGCGAGCCCCTCCGCAGTCCCGTGCGCAGACGCGCCGCTGCTGCGGCATATCCCAGGGACATGCTCCTCTCCCCTTCCGCTCGTTCTCACCGTTGTCGCTCATCTCCTCATACATACTTCTTGCTCATCATTCGATCGGCCGTCTCGTTCTGGTAGAGTGCTGACGCGGCATCCGTCGATAACAAAGTGCTATATTGCGACTTGATGACATTAGCGGGGGGCGCGTGTACACAAAACAAACAACATGATATTAGCATAGCCTCGGGGGCCTCTTGGGGGCTGTTGTGGGGATCTTGGGGCTGCCTTGGGGGATCTTGGGGCTATCTGGAGGATCTTGGGGTCCTTTCTGGGGTTGTCTCGGGGTCGTCTTGAGCCATTCTTGAGCCGTCTCCGTCTTGAGCTGGCCTTGAGGCCGCCTCGGTGGGCCTTTGGGTTGTCTCAGGGTCACCTTGGGGTCCTCCAGGGGCTACCCAGACCGCTGGAGCGCAGCTTGGAACGGCCCCAAGGCCGTCCAGAGGGGTCGGAATGAGAGGTGATGGGAGGGGAGGTGTGATAATTGAAGGTATTATATCTTATGGAACAGGAATCCTGGGGAGGCTTGTCCAAGGGGGGTTGTCCGGGGGGGTTGTCCGGATTCTTGTGGGGTTGTCCAAGGGGTTGTCCGGGCCGCGTCGTGTCAGCACGTGCGCATATCATTATCATGCATACCATCAAAAGCATGGCACAACCAGGGAAGCCCAGTTGGAACTGTTGACTTTTTTCCCCACTTTTCCTTGCTTCGGCTCCCGTTTGCACGCCCTTCTTTATCGCGCTTCCCCAAACAGCTATGCTGAGTGGGGTCCTGTTGCGGTAGAAGCTAGTTCTGGCCAATGGGTCAGCGCTCAGAGACATCCTCCATCATCGGGGGTGACCTGGCCAGTTTCGCCAGAGACGTCCTCGCAACTCTGGGTTCGGAGATGCCCTGAACTGAGGTGGTCTGGTCAGTTCGGCTTGACACATTTTCGCAATATGCCGGCGTTCCCGCATCTCTGGGCTCGGAAATGCAGCGCGCGAGGTGGTCCAGCCAGTTCATCCAGAGACATCAGGGCGCGGAGATGTAGCGCGCGAAGTGGTCCAGCCAGTTTCGCCAGAGACATTCTCGCAATTTTGGGTTCGGAGATGCCACGCGAGAGCTGGTCTGGCCACTTCTGCTTGAGATATCCTCGCAACACTGCGCGCTGGCCACGTCCCTGATTGGGAACGGTACTCTCGCCTCAACCCTTGCGACATCCTTCATTGGGTACTTATGGTGTTGCGGCTCGAGTGCCAGCAACCATCCGTGATTGGGAATGGTGCTCTCGCCTACATCTCCGTCTGGTATTGGTGCTGTCGCCTTCGCGCTGACCACATGCTGCCTCATCATTATGCGTGATGCTCTAGCCTCAGCGCCGGTCACTTCCCTAAGTGGGTATTGTGCTGCCGCTCGGGCGCCAGCCACAATCACGTGCTGGGACGCAGGGGTTGTAGGGGTTGTCCGGCGGGTTGTCCCAGGATTTTGTTGGTTATGTTTTTTTCCATTTGACATAGTAGGGGAGGGTACGGAGATGCGGGCCGGTGAGCGGGAAGGGGAGGGAAGAGGAGGGGCACGGGAGGGCTGGGTGCGTTGGATGGGGCGGGGCAGGGGGAGGAGAGGGAAGCACGGCAAGAATTCTTCGCTGACCTGGGCCCCTGGGGATCTAGCCCCCTTCCCCGAAAGCATGCTGCCGTCCTGAGCTGCTCTCTGACGGCCTCTGGGCTGGTAAGCGGCCTCCCTTGGGGGAGCGCGTCAGAACAACCGCCGTGAAGTTTTTCGGTTACTTGAAGGAGGAGGAGGAGGAGGAGGAGGAGGAGGAGGAGGCGTAAGGAGGATCTGCAGTGATGACCTACTCGTCGAGCCGAGCGCCTTGGGTTCGAGGATCGACGAATCGCGGGGATCGCCGCGGCGGGAATGCCGAGGCCCAGGCGCGCCCAACCAGGGCGTGCCGAACCCTGGCCAGGCGTTTGCCAGCGGGCTAGGCGAGCTCCCCCCCTTGTTGGGGTGCCAGGAGGAGGAGGAGGAGGAGGAGGAGGAGGAGGAGGAGGAGGAGGAGGAGGAGGAGGAGGAGGAGGAGGAGGAGGAGGAGGAGGAGGAGGAGGAAGGCACATTCGAGCAGCAGATCTGCAGGGACTTCGCAACCAAACACTTTTGTGGCGGAGGCCTCGAGCACGGTGTCGACCTCACCGTGCTCTCAAGGCTCATCCGTGGCCATCGACGTGCGCAACGCCACGGACATGCAGCACTGCTCGAGCGCATAGCTACAGGAGCCGTGTGGCCAGGATATCGGCGTTACCCTGACGAGCCTGATCGACAAAAATGCCCTCGGTGTACAGCTGCACGCCTCCATCCCCTGCCCGTCGAAGACATACTACATCAACAGTGGAAGTTCCCGTGCCTTAACGCGACAGAGCACACAGCCTTTGACCTCCTCCCGCATATAGAAGGTCAACATGAAGACGGGGCTTGTTTTTGGCATCGAGGAATCGTCCCGATCCTCTCTGGATTTACCCGCACATTGACAAGTTCCCAGAATGGAAGTTTTGAGTGTTCAGGAGGCGTTGCTCAGGAACAGCGTCTCCAGCTCCCCCCGGATGCCCTGGTAGGTACTGATGGAAGCGGAGGCGACCACACTAATGACCCAAGGCTCCGTAGATGTGGCTGGGGTTTTGCCATTCGTTCCCAGGGTGCCATCCTTAGGGAAGCCTGGGGCCCGCTCCTCGGACGGCACCAGGCGGTGCCCTTGGCGGAGCTGGAGGGCCTTACGCAGGCCCTCAAGCATACCCAGGGACCAGCCACTTTTGTTGTAGACTGCGCCTGCGTCCTGAAAGAATTGCATGCTGGCCCTGGCCAGACCCCGCCCTTGCATGCTGCAGCATGGGCTCGTTTTGGAATGAATGTAACGTCAGGCCAGGAGAAGCGCAGTTTATCAAGGTGAAGAGCCACCTCGCAGAGACTGGCATCGGCCGATTTGTCTCCGAGGGCGGGTTCCGATGCAATGAGGCTGCTGGCGAGGCGGCTAAGAGAGGAGCTGCCTTCGCCCAGCTTCCCCCAGTCCCTCGCCGAGGTTGCCCGAATCGACTCCCTGGCCAAGAAGGTTTTGAAACTCTTGCTCGAGGTAGGTTTGGCGGGGGTCCTGGCCAGGCAGGCTGACGCCACAGCCCCAGGAGCCCCGACCCCAACCGATTTCGTTGCCGCCCGCAGAGAGCGGCGTGATGGCCGAATCGCTGCTAGATTGGACGCCCGCCAAGCTACCAACCACCAGGTGGTTCCACGCCGGAGCACCTCTTTTTGTTCTGTCCTTGCATTTGTACCAAACTCAAGCCCTCTTGTAGTCGCTCTGAGAAGGAGGAAGAGGAGAATGATGAGGATGAGGAGGATGAGGATGATGATGAGGATGAGGATGATGATGCTGCTGCTGATGACGATGACGACGAGGATGATGATGACGATGATGATGATGCTGGTGATGATGATGCTGATGCTGATGATGATGCTGCTGCTGATGATGATGCCGATGATGTTGATGACGATAATGATGCTGATGATGATGATGATGGTGATGATGATGAGGAGGAGGAGGAAGAGGAGGAAGAGGAGGAGGAGGAGGAGGAGGAGGAGGAGGATGAGGAGGAGGAGGAGGAAGAGGGAGGAGGAGGAGGAGGAGGAGGAGGAGGAGGAAGAGGAGGAGGAGGAGGAGAAGAGGAGAGAGGAGGAGGAGGAGGAGGACGAAGAGGAGGAGGAGGAGGAGGAGGAGGACGAGAGGAGGATGAGGTGGAGGAGGCGGAGGGGGAGGCGGAGGGGGAGGCGGAGGAGGAGGCGGAGGAGGAGGAGGACGAGGAGGAGGAGGAGGAGGAGGAGGAGGAGGAGGAGGGGGAGGAGGAGAAGGAGGAGGATGAGGACGAGGAGGACGAGGAGGAGGAGGAGGAGAAATAATAAGAGGAAGAGGAAGAAGAGGAAGGGGAAACAATTTAATGATAATGGTAATACTAACGCGAAAAACAATCTTTGTAATACTAGTAATAGTATGAAGAATAGTAATAATAAGAAGAAGACGAAAAAGACGAATACGACGAATCATTATATTTGTTATATGAAAACTACCAGTAATAATACGAAGCAGAATAATCATATTAATAATAATGATAAGACGTAAATGAATAATAACATTGCTTATAGGAAAATACTAAGACGACCGATAAGAATAATGATAATAATGAGAAGAACCAAGCGACTAATCATATTTTTTAATAATACTAGTAGCAATAATAATAAATATAACAATTCTTGATACTACTGCTAATGATACTAGGAATAACAATAACCATAATAATAAGGCGACTGAGAAGAATAATAAGAGTAATACATACAATCCTATTACTAATGATACTAAGAGTACTATGAACATTACGACGAATAATAAACCGAATAAGAAGCACACGAATAATACGAATGATAATGCCACGACGAGTAATACGATACTAAGAAAACAAATGATAACAACACAACGAAGAATAGTAATACGAATAATAAGAAGACGAAAATAATAATATCAATTCTAGACGCTTCGCGTATCCCCACCAGCCCGTCCAGAAATGAGCCCCAGAGGAGTGGAGGTGATGAGGGAAGCGGGGGAGCATGCAGAAGAACAAAGAGCGGGTTAAGCCGCCATACGTTCCAAGAGGGGGAGGATGTAGGAGGAGTCGTCGTCGTCGGAGTAGGAGGAGGAAGACGAGGAGCAGGAGGAGGAGCAGGAGGAGGAGGGGGAGGAGGAAGAGGAGGAGGAGGAGGAGGAAGATGAGGAGGAGGAGATGGAGGAGGGCGAGGACGAGGAGGACGAGAAGGAGGAGGAGGAGGAGGAGAAGGAGGAGGAGGAGGAGGGGGAGGGGGAGGAGGGAGGAGGGAGAAAAAGAGGAGGAGGAGGAGGACAATGGCGAGCTTGGGGGCCTCTTGGGCCGTCTTTGGGGCCTCTTGGCGGTCCCGGGGGCCTCTTGCGTATCTCGGGGAGCTTCTTGTGTCCTTTTGGGAGTCTCTTGGAGGCCTCTTGGAGGCCTCTTGGGGGCCTCTTGGGGCCTCTTGGGGCCCTCTTGGGGCGCTCTTGGGGCGCTCTTGGGAGCCTTCGGGGCGCTCTTGGGGCCATCTTGGAGGAGATCTATCAAGAAGGGGGGGTTGCTTATTAGCGTTGCCCCTCTAGAGTGCCTCGAATCGCCTCTTGGGCCTTCCTAGAGGCCAAAATCCGTCCAAAACCTAAGGAAAATCAATGTTTTTTGCTTTCTCGCCTTTTCGCTCTTGGAGCCGTCTTGGGCCATCTTGGGAGCATCTTGGGGCCTCTTGGGGGTCTCTTGGGAGCCTCTTGGGGGCATCTTGGGGGCCTCTTGGGGCCTCTTGGGGCCCTCTTGGGGCGCTCTTGGGGCGCTCTTGGGGCGCTCTTGGGAGCCTTCGGGGCGCTCTTGGGGCCATCTTGGAGGAGATCGATCAAAGAAGGGAGGGTCGTATATTAGCGCTGCCCCTCTAGAGTGCCTCGAGTCGCCTCTTGGGCCCCCCAAGAGGCCAAAATCCTTCCAAAACCTAGGTAAAATCAATGTTTTTTGCTTTCTCGCCTTTTCGCTCTTGGAGCCGTCTTGGGCCATCTTGGACTCTCTTGGGGCCTCTTGGGGGTCTCTTGGCAGCCTCTTAGAGGCTTCTTGGGGGCCTCTTGGGGTCTCTTGGGGCGCTCTTGGGGCGCTCTTGGGGCGCTCTTGGGAGCCTTCGGGGCGCACTTGGGGCCATCTTGGAGGAGATCTATCAAAGAAGGGGGGAGCCTTAATTAGCCTCGCCCCTCTAGAGTGCCTCGAGTCGCCTCTTGGGCCCCCCCAAGAGGCCAAAATCCGTCCAAAACCTAGGTAAAATCAATGTTTTGTGTTTTCTCGCCTTTTCGCTCTTGGAGCTGTCTTGGGTCATCTTGGACGTCCCAACGCGTCGCGGAACGCCTCGTCCAGGTCAGTGGGGAGGGGTAAGGGGAGGGGTAAACCCCTCCCCGAAGGGGAAGAAGGGGGTTGGCAGAGGAAACTCTCTAGACCACCTACGCCCTAAAGGGCTGGTGGGATACTACTGGTGCGACAGTTAAGAACAATAAGGATAAGACACATAATACTACCAATCAGAAGAATAGTACTAAGAAGAATAACGATACGAGTACTACTAATATTATGAATAAGAACAATGAGAGTACGCATGGTACTAATACTACTCATAAGAATAATGATAAGAAGAAGCAGGCGACAACGAATACGACGAACCATAATAATACCCATAGTCTTACTAATATTACTAATTAGAAGAATACTAAGAACAATACTAATATCAAGACCAATCCTAATCATACGAGTAGTAATACCAGCACTAATGCTACGAATAATAGTAGTACTAATGATACTAGTCCTACTACTAATATCAGCAATCATAATACTGATAATAATAATGATGATAATACTAGTAGTAATAGTGATAGTAATAGTAATAGTAATACTTATAATACTAATACTAATACTAATACTAATACTAATACTAATACTAATACTAATACTAATACTAATACTAATACTAATACCAATACTAATACTAATCCTAATACTAATACTAATACTAATACTAATACCAACACTAATACTAATAATAGTAATAACAATAGTAATACTGATAAAACTAATAATACTAAAAATGATACTAATCATATTCATGATCATAATCATACCAATACTACTACTACTACTACTACTACTACTACTACTACTACTACTACTATTATTAATAACAATAACAATAATAATAATGATAATACTGATCATGATCATAACCATGATAATAATCGTAATAGTAATATCCAATATACTACGAATAATAAGAATACTCATTATCATACTACTACTAAGAAGATGATGAGGAGGAGGAAGAGGAGGAGGAGGAGGAGGAGGAGGAGGAGGAGGAGGAGGAGGAGGAGGAG